ATCAGAACCTGCAGGGTGTGACGCTTCCAAGCAGTCTGAAGAGCTTGCAGTTTGGTTTTAATTTCAACCAGAACCTGGAGGGCGTGACCTTCCCAAGCAGTCTGCAAAGCTTGACGCTTGGTCGTGATTTCAACCAAAGCCTGGAAGGAGTGACCTTCCCAAGCAGTCTGCAAAGCTTGACGCTTGGTCGTGATTTCAACCAAAGCCTGGAAGGAGTGACCTTCCCAAGCAGTCTGCAAAGCTTGACGCTTGGTCGTGATTTCAACCAAAGCCTGGAAAGAGTGACCTTCCCAATCAGTCTGCAAAGCTTGACGTTTGGTGTCGCCTTCGACCAGAACTTGGAGGGCGTGATCTTTCCAAACAGTCTGCAAAGTTTGTCGTTGGGTGGTGGCTTTTATCAGAACCTGAAGGGTGTGACCTTCCCAAGCAGTCTGCAAAGCTTGTCGTTGGGTGGTGGCTTCACCCAGAACTTGAAAGATGTGGCTTTTCCAAGTAGCCTGCAGTCTTTGGTGGTTCAGGGTGTTTTGGTGAGCTGCGAACATCAGTGTCCTGCAGAATAAAAGCGGCCTCGATCAGAAACATCGGGAGTTGTTTCTGTTCAGCACGACATATAGTTAGTTATAATATATATATATACATATATGATATGATATAATTAGTCTATTCCTGTTTCAAGCAGATTTCATATCATTGCGTTACCATTCCTATTTTGAGCGGATTTCAACATCATGATATCTTATCACCATGATACGAAATGCTTCCTGCTTTCCGAAAAAACGTCCCAAGAGAGGTAGAAACGTGTTTCCAGGATGTCAAAAATGGCAAAAACGACGTTTTCCAGCGTTTTCTTCCCATAAAATGGCAAAACGTGTCCAACTGTTCAGCCCTAAATCCAGTGGTTTGCTTGGCTCGCGCCAGTTGCCAGGGTAAGCTGAATCAGTCCCACTTAAGTGGGGATATACCCGGCCTGGTTATTTGTTACATAGCCATGGTTCGTCGATGGCCCTAATCGAAATAAATAAGGTTTACCGTTCTTCAAAATAAGGTGGATCTTTCCATGGCGAACTGTAACAAATGACCAGATGGTAAGCCACGGATCCGGGTCGTGGGATGAGCCATCTCACAGATTTCGTGATTTCGTGGCTTTAGTTTCCACATGTTTCCACACCCCAAGTCATCCAGTCGTTGTCGTGATGGACGACCACTAAGTGAAACATCCATGGTGACGACGATCCACCATGGTTGAAAAACCTCCATGGCGACTACGCCAAAAACAGCTGCGACTCAATTTTTGGCCGAAATCCCGCGCCCAAAAAACAAATGGCCGTTTGAGTAGAGAAACAAAAACGATGGTAAACCATGTTAAACCAGCAATGTTCTAGCTTTTTTGGACTTGCCATACATATCAATCTACCCTGGAATGGGCGGGAAAACCCCACTTCGGCAATCCTGGTTTTTCAGACACTGTTCAATGAGTTGCATTGATCTTACAACCGCTGCTTTCCAACTACCAACCAATCCAACACTGACATGTACAGAACATTGCAGAACCGTCACCAACTGGTGATACAATATTCTATAATATATATAATTACATACTATACTATTTACTGCTCATCCATTTACATGATCTGTTGTATGTATCATGTATACATCATGATACTAAAGATTCACACATACATTTCTTGCATGTCAGTGTTTCACCCTCAAGTAACATAGGGTGAACGAAGGTTATACGTTATAATTAACATGTTTTTAGATAGTGTTGTTCCCCTTTTGTATCTCCAAATAGAGTCTCCATGCCACGTTTCGTTGTCGTTTTCGTTGCGATTTCCTCATGTTGCGATGTGCCCCTGCTTCGCGGCGGCGAAGAACTGCGCCCCCAGAGCCCGCAGCTTCCGTAGTGCACCACAAGTGGAACGATCCAAGAGCCCATCGGCAGAGCTTTAAGGAGTGTTTTTCGCATCAAAAATGGTGATGTTGATATGGAGGTTTCCTGAAGGGGTACCCCTAGTTCTCATCCATTTTAATTAATATTGGATGTTCCATTATGAACCATTTTGGGGATCCACCATTTATGGAAACACCCAATTATATTACTAGGTCAATCGTCTGGATGGGTAGAAACAAACCCTGTTGTCTTTTGGTATCAATGGGATTATCTACGTTCACCAGCTAAGAATTTGTCATTTTTTGTAGGGTATCTAAGATTGGCAATGATCAGACCAGCAAACATATGGGAAAAAATGATGTGTGAAAATGTTGGTAAAACCTGCCCTATCATGTGGTTTTTCACGGTTTTTGGCACTGCTCAACCACATCCAAGCCAGATCCACGGTGGGTCCCACAGTGCGGGCCCCACTTAGTAAATAGCTCAAAAAGCCTCTATATATCATATCCCCACCGGATGAACTACATTGAACTACGGGATGAAATCGGGCTTATGGATTATAAATCACGAATCCTAAAAGGTGGTGCCCCCCAGTGATGTTTGTTGATTAGAACCCCATCTAAGTATAGTTTTAACTACCACAATCCCTGGTTACTGTAGTTATTTGGCCCAACTTAGCTATCTGGGGGGCCCCACAGTGTAAGTGGATAATTAAGTGGGATGTACCAAGTTTCTGGTGGTCCATTTGTCCACCATTCTGGATACTGGGATGATAGAACCCCAGTCGTAGGTGACGCGTAGGTTGCCCCCTTGCAGATCCGTTGTAGAAAACGGATGCGCTGGACTTAAAGTCTAGCCAATTCGATCACCCATAGGATCCATGGTGCTGGTATATATTCTAACATTGGGGCTATATTGATGGGATCCATGTTACCATATATAATATACATGGATCCTATGGGTCAAAGATGCGGGAATATCTGACAGAATCTGACTCCACCAAATCCCTAATCAATTCCCTGTCATTCACGGGAAAACGCAGCAAATATTTTCCTGAAACGCGTCCAACAAGTTTAGTTTGCTGGGAAAATCATCCATTTATGTGGGGGATTTTTGAGCAAGCCATGTTTGATGACACCGGAGGGTATTATAATTATTATAGGGTATAACGGTATAACCTCAGCTGTAAGTGGATAAATCATGATAAATCCTACCAATTGCACTTCGAACTAGGGATATAACGTTTTTTCGGTTTTGTCTAAAACTCCTGTTGTTTTTGTAATACGCAATGTCAATTGTAGCCCCACATTTTCATGGCTTGGGAATGGTGACTGAAGGCGGCCCTGTAATACGGCTGTCACTGTCAGGTGAATGTGAGAAGCTTCTGGCTTTGCATCAGCTTCTTGGACGATCCCAACTGCTCGGTGATTCTGTGGTCGGCGATTTTAACATTGCATGTTTGGTTGACCATGACGTATGGCTAACTTTTACTACACATAGTGGATATATATATATATATATATGACCATTTGTCAAAAATAGTTGTTTAGAAGTTTAGTATTGGTTGTTGATAATTCATCTGGGTCTACTGTTTTTTCCTCTTCGCTATGAGGCGGCACGCAACTAAATTCAGCAATTCTGCAAGGCAGCGCTAGCAAACCCGCTAGGTTTGCGCTAGGTTTGATTGACAGCCATGGCCTCCATGTCGTGAATGTCTTGCCAGCTTTTCTTGCAAGTCTGTCAGTTTCCACATATTCCCAAATTTTCGATTTTTTTTACGTATTTTACGCGCTAGATCGCCGCTAGCAACGCGCTAGCGAAAATTGCAAATACATGCCCCGGTCCACCCGCAGCCCATACAGAGGGCACAGCCATGTTCACGCTTTGGTAGCTTACAGTAAGGAAACAGCGTTGATCAGGAGACATGTCAAGAAGCATATTGCATTCAGAGAGGCGCACGCACACAGAGACACACAGTTCAGGAGATAGTACCAGCGACAGCGAATGAAAACCGACGTGCGTTAGCCGATTCCTGTGGTTTTAGAAAGATTTCCAAAGGTAACGAAGAATTTCCACGTTTTCACGTCATCAAGGTAGGTCATGTTTTTAAAGGCAAACATGAGGCGGCACGCATGGAATTGCGATTTATCAACAAAACCGGGAACAGACATTTTGACAAACCGTCATATATATATATATACATAATATATACATATACAATATATATATATATGAATGATTCATCATTAGATCTATCTATCTTAAATATATAACAATATTCATAAATATCTATAGGCAACTGGTGAGTTGGTTATGAAATGTGACTCGTGAACCTGCTGAACCTTGGGATAGTTGGCGATGAACCAAGCACCGGCCTTTTATGGGATGGGAGTTGGATCGGATCTACCAGGTGGTTGCTGATGTTGCTATTTTTGAAGCATATCAAGCCCATTAGTCAGTTCATAGTGGTTAATAGTGGTTAATACTTATTAATAGGTCTGAATAGTGGTTAATGATCATTTGTGGTGATTAATGGTGATATACCCTCTGGTAAACTGTTACATAACTATGGAAAATCACCATTTACAACAGGTAAATTATCTATAAATGGTCCATTTTCAATAGCTACGTTCATGAGTTTGATATACCCTCTGGTATAGCTATTGTATAGATTGCCATTGAAATAGTGGATTTACCCATGAAAAATGGTGGATCTTTCCATAGTTTTCTGTAAACGTTTACCAGGCCGGGTATCTAGCATGAAGCCGTCAGAAATCCATCTGTGATGTTTTTTTTTGGATCATCCCCTGGAGTGGATAGCCCTGGGTTTCATTAGTCCAGTGGGCTATACCATGTGTATGTAAATTATAACTGGTTGGTGGTTTGGATTTTTTGTTTCCATATATTGGGAAGAATCATCCCAACTGACGAACTCATATTTTTCAGGGGGTTAAAACCACCAATTAGATAAATACTATGGGTCATAAGACTAACCGCTTAAAAAGTGGGATCAGCCTCCAAGTTTTTTTTTGTCTTACACTTTCTCCATTGGTAGGTTATACACCTGACAAAACACTTGAATCTGAGCTGATAAAACGATAAATTTGTCATGTTGCCGGAGGTCATCGCCAAGCTCCCGACCTCAACCGATCTCATCACAGATTTATTTTCCACTGACGATGTGGCAAACATTGACGAAAGGAGGAAGGTCTTTGCCTCAGTTACTTTGGTGTTTAAGTTTATAATGGGCACAGCAGTCGTCAGAACGGGCGAGGGTGATGTGCTGAACATGCAGCCCCACCTTGATGCCTATCCTGGAATCTTGGGAGTGCAGCATCGAGGAATGGATCCTGATTGGAATGTTGCTGCAATCAGCTGCCTATGCAGAGGTGACGGCTTAGCGAGCTGGTCGTGGAGTTGAAAGTCCAGTTCTTCTGGCGTTTTTATTTCTATGACCCTCAGCGATTTTTTGTCACTGGCTGAGCGAGCTTGAAAGCAAGTAGAGGTACGGAAGACCTCCCTGAAAGCGGTTGCAGAACCAAGTCTTACACTTTCGGCCGTCTGCATCAGACGCTTTTTTTCTGCGGTCCAAACTTTTGGTGTTTCCTCGCAACATGGAGTCCAAACCAATCAGATTTTTACATTTATAGGTACAAGGTTGTGCCATGTGGTGTTTCATAACTCGCCAAGTTAGTATTTCGCTAGTTTGTATGGGTATATATATCTGATGTATTTATAGTTCATGGGATTTATAAGCCGGCTTATGCATCCTTCTATTTCAGCGAGAATCATTTGCGGCTGAGGCTCGTTTCTTGACTCTCAAAACACTGGATGGTTTAGTTTAGTATTCTGGTAAACACAAGAATAAACAGCCCGCATTTCATCAGAAATGGATCCCTCCAGACTTGAACATGAATCAAACATTGGGTTTACCACGTCACAAGTTACCGGACCTCTCGATGGGTTGTTTTTCAAGGAGGATATGCAAACCATGGATATATGGCAACCAATTCTTTCATTCCTGCATTTTGCCAGCCATATAGATCCATATAGGGGTTTAGTTTCAAAAATCACCATTGGTACCAAAGGTATAGCTGGTAGCTTATGGAGTCAAATTATAAATGGCCGAAAATTGGCAAGTTTTTCCAACTGACCTACAAGGTGTTTCTTCCTCACAAATTGTCAATTGTCAAATTTAAATTTGTCAGTTAAAGTATTATAGTCAAAATCTCAATTCAAGAATATGTTCTCAACAATCAGATCAATCAGTGTTTCGCATTTTTTAAAACCCAATCTTTACCCTCTGGTAATGACTAACATAACTATGGAAAATCACCATAGAAATAGTGAAATTTCTCATGAATAGCATGGTGGATCTTTCCATAGTTTTCTGTAACAGTTTACCAGCGGGTATATCACCATTAATCACCATAAATGATCACTAACCACTTTTCAGATCTCTGAAAATCACTATTAACCACTATAAATCACCATCAATCACAATTTTTATTACCAGAGGGTACATCTGTGGCGTCCCTTCGCGCCAAAATCGGCGCCGAGGCATTGCAATGCAGAGGAGAGCGTCGCTCGCCTTCTGTCTCCGAAGTTCAAGAAGTTCCAGGAGCGTCCGGAGCGAACGGCCAGGAGTTGGTGGTGGTTTCCAGGAGCGTCCCAAGGTGGTGCCCCAAGACATCCCAAGACCATAAGAAACCATAGGAAAATGTGGGTTTAATGGGATTTATAGCTGATTTATGATAGCTAAGTTAGTTTATAAGTTCAATAACTTGGGTTTATGGTAGTTGCATCTATAGTTACTATTGTTTATAAACCAACTTACAACGGGGTGGGCACTACCTTGTGAACAAATGAGCAGTGGCTGCCAGACCCCTGTTGGTTGATGATTAGTTCGGGGATTATACTACCCAATGTAGGGGGGATTACAATAATCCAAGAACGGGGAATCCCTATAAACCAACCAGTATAATGAAATGATAGAGGGATTTTGAACACTGCTCAAATGGGGACATAGGGTATGTTGAGACATATCCGAAGAAAAAGGCCAAAACATTAATATGAGGATTATGGAATACAAAAGGGAATATACAAGGGAATATCATGGGAATAGAATGGGATATGATGCACCAACAATATCTGGTTGGTGGTTTGGAACATTTTTTATTTTTCCATTCAGTTGGGAATGTCATCATCCCAACTGACGAACTCATATTTTTCAGATGGGTAGGTATACCACCAGCCAGTGATGGTGAACTAACCAGCCACGGAAATATATTAGCAATTTAAATATAGTTATATATGGTTACATATGGTTATATATGGTTATATATATATATGGTATATTACTTTACCCTCTGGCAATGCCTGAAAACATGGGACTTGATATACCAGCGATTCGGGGAAGATGATGCAGCGTTCGATTAGCCATTGTGGATCACAAAGGCGAGCCACAGCTTTGAAACCGTCCCAACATCATCTTACGAATGCTGCTCTATTTATAGAGTTGTTATATTTTATATTAAATTATATTGTAGTATATATAGTATATTTTTTTTTTATATTATATATTTTATTAAACATATTATATTATATAATATATATATATTATAATATATATATATTTATAAATATATATATATATTATATAATATATTATATAAATTATATATTATTTATTAAATATTAAACAATAAGAATTATATATATATGTTTATGTTATATATTATATTATTATATTACTATTTTTTTATTATTATATTATTCAAGTTATATTTTTATATTACCATATTATTTTATTATTTTATTATTTTTTATTTTATATTTTATTTTATATTTTATTTATTATTATTATATATTATATTATTATATTCTGTTATTTTTTTTATTATTATGTATTATTTTATTTTTTATTATCTTTTTTGTTTTATATAATATAATATTTTTTTTACATATTATATATATCTTATATATATATTATAAATAAATATATATATATATTATAATTACTTTCCATTACTTTCCAACTCATAATCACTGAGACGCACAAATGGACATCAATGCTGTGAAATGCTCTTCAATGCTGAGAATGTAGATTCTCTTGGAATCTTGTTTATTGGAACTTGTTTTTGACCCCCACCAAAGCCAATCATTGCAGTGCATGGATCGTTTCAGCATGTGTGTCACAGCCTTTAGTAGAAGTTGATATACAAAACTATGCGATCTCTAAAGATGTTCTGTTAGGATGACTCTACCCCATATGTGCCGTGGTCAACAGTCGGATCAAGCCATTCATAATGGTTAAACCATGCGGTTTCGCATGGTTTCGTAAAATGGAGGATGCCCAAGTCACCATGGTTTTTTCAATACTAAGCCATGCTTGTCTCGGGGGTTTCCGTCGTCATGGGGGATCCAATCTAAAGCTGGTTTGTTTATTTAGGTTATTTCAACATCCCAATCGAAAATAGATGATTTGGGGCTACCCCGACTTTGGAAACCTCCATTTATCCACTATGTCTAAATTCCCATTAGATGGCTAGGAACTTGGCATTGGGGTATCTTGGGGGTGCTTCATTCGCCCCAATTGATGGAATATCCCCGGATGAAATATGGGATGAAACAGGGCTTATATATGGATATATATATATATATACATATATATATATAGATAGATATACATATGAATTCAAAAACCACAGATCCGATTTCGCGGGGCCCGCACATTCAAGTACCCTATCTATCAGAAACCACGCCCTTCCTCCTTCACCAGGCCTCCCGAGACGTGTTGTCGCGGATCCTAACAACGCTTCTACGCCACCTGACGCCACGGATCATCCCACGGTCATCGGCCGGTCAACTTGGTCAACTGATTAGTAGCTACAGTTATGGCCCAAGTGCCGGTTATAAATGGAGTTATAACATGTTATAGCAGGTTATAACATGTTATAACATGTTACAGCTCCTATAAATAAGGTGAAGTATATCATGAAATAAACCCATAAAACATAACTGTTAGTTGGGCCATAACTGTATGGTGATAGCCATTTTTAAATGAGATGACCCCATGAAAAAGGGACTTGCTAACTTGCTATAACTTGCTAAGTGGGATGATCCTCCAAGCAGGACGATGCGAAAACACTGACTCAGAAATTACAAGTGGCAACGGTTGAACAGTCGAACGTACCAATTATGCCGGAAAGCATGATGGACATGTCTACCACCGAAATTTCATGGGTTTTCATGTCTTTTCCTTGAGCCAGTTCTGGGAAGCTGGACATGGTTCATTGTGATCGAAGATAATGATGACAGTCCAATATTATTGATGACATGTGTAGTAATCATAGTATAGCTTAAACATTATATTGTACATATATTATCCCGGACTTGCTGCAGACAAAGGTTTCCCCACTCCCTTTGGTGAATTTTTGCGTGAGTTAAAACGGCAAATTCTTTTGATTTAGCAGAATGCTTGGGATGCTTTTCAACACACTTAGTGGATCAGATTCTTCTTCTTGAGGCCTTTTTCTACGTTTGAGCAGGGGGTATAGAAATGCTTTTCAGTATTTGGTATTTTAAGATGATTCTGGCATGGCCCAGTGCCTGAGGCTGGGGGTGTCGGCAAGACGAAGATCACATGGAAGATGTTCACGGTTGTCACGTTCATGGCACCCCCTGCTTTATATAGCAATACAGATTTTTTTGTACCTCTACCGGCAGGAATTGCTGAAGGTTGGGTGATTTGATGCGATGTGGCAAGAGACTCTACGTGTGGAAATAAGACCGGGCAGAAAAAGTTGAGATCGGGCAGAAATGGCCCAAATCGGGCAGAACAACAATGGTTTTCTGAAACGGGCAGAAAACCAAAACAAGCAAATTTTAATTGTTGTTTCATGATGCAGGTTTCTTTGTGGCCCAATTTGTTTTCTGTGTGCCCCCATTGCAAAGTGAATCGGACCAGATATTCCCATAGTGGTTTGACACCTAGATATGATATGCCTGTCTTCTCTGGGTTTATATCCATAGGCCATCCAGTCCTGATCTCCAATCCCAACCTTTCTTTCTGACTGTCTCTTGAAAGGGGTTTTATCACAAAAAGGGAACTACTTGCCCAAACCGACTTTGGTAATATTTTCGACGGCTGATTTAAATTCGAATACAGTATTAGGGATTCCGTAATGACCATATTCCCTACGGTAAGGATGTTGGTCCCAATCTATCATTCGGGGGGTGCGAGCGTGTTGTCATTGACTTTGGGAAAAAATCCGGTTGATTTCATTGATATCAAATTTTAGACCACCACATGGAAATGCCCCCAGATGCCGGAGCCCTGGTTCCAATGGAACCAGGCCCTAGTTCCTATTGTAAAGGTCCCAGAACTGTCACCGCCTCTCCAAGTTTCACTAGCGCTGCGCTTCCCTCCCAAAGTCTATCTCCTTCTTCCCAGAATGCACGCCATCGGCAGAAAACGTCAACGGTCAAATTGTAGTTGAGCATAAAGAAACCTTTCGTGCTCCAACCAAAAAATGATTTTCAATCGGTTTTTCCAAATAAAAACCCTAGTAACCTTGGTTTTCCCTTGTAACACGCATCATTTTCCCCACCAAACTGCTCCCGAAAATTGGTTCCCCAGGCGACCTGGCTCACGCCGCGTCCGCATCTGCGGCCTCCGGCGCTGACCACGCGGAATTGGCGGAGGAGGTGCTGCGATACATGCTACGGGGCCTGGTTGCCTGGCTGCCTGGCAGTGGCCGGTCAGGCATTGATCTGGCGAAATTTGACGCATCCCTGGGCTGGGGGGGTTCTCCCCAAGCGCCCTGAAATCAGGTTAGTGAACCATTAGATCTTCACCAAGATTTGTCAGAAAAGGGATCTCCAAAATGGTGATACTCCAAAATGGATGGTCTATAAAGGAAATTCCTACCAAATTGGATGCTTGCGGCAAACCTCCATTTCAGGAACTCCCACCCATATGCGCCATGGTGCTGGAATATTTACCAACAATTTCCCCATAAATCAACCAGGTATGTAGGTACCAGCACCGTGGAGCATTTGGGATATAGAGTTAAGTTCCAATATCAAGTTAAGTCCCTTAATTAAGTTTCCCCTACAACACCTGATTGAGCCGCTCTGCCGAGTCAGCACTGCGTTCCTTGCTGTTTTTGGGGTCAAAACTGAAAACCAGAAAAAATGAAAAACATATGAACGAAAGCTTCAAAAAAATCCAAGATTAACTGACATATATGTGACATACTCGACCGTATGCGTCGCATACATCCGGGTTCCTACCATGATTTCCGTTCAGCTAGCATTAGTTTGGATGTCGAGGCACCAATGTCCAAAGAGGTTTCGAGTGGGTTGATGAGCAAAGTTGATGTTTTGTTTGTTACAGGCGGCCCACTTTTCGCACCAAAAACCCAAAGGCGATAGGTATCAAAAGGGCAGCGAGAAACCAAAACAATTTTTTCCAAGTATACTGAAGAACAATTCCAAACATCGGTCCTCGTTGGGTTGATCAAAGGCTTCCAGGGCAAGGAGCGTTCCAAAATGTTCCAAACCAGCAAAAAAACGCACTCACCGAAGCAAACATGCATGCAAATCATACATATTTGGATCATGGTGCAAAAACATGCGGTTCAGCTAGTTTTGTTTGGTTTCAGCATCATAGAATATTCCAGAGACACAATAGATCATATGATCATTCTGAGTATGAATGTGGCGACGCCATACAATGAAACATGCTGACATTTCCTTGAAGATTGCATTTTCGCTACATGCCCGGAAGTAATCAGTTCCAAAGCCCTGGTTCCGGAACCCGCTTCTGGTTCCCATCATTTTGCTAACTGCTGTGGTTCCTATAGCATAGTGGGACATGGAAGCGTAGGGCCCCATACATTTCAGTAGGCTAAATCACTATTTTTCTTGGTGAAGTCCCTTAATTTTCCTTGGTTTTCCATGGTTTTCCTCACCGTAAAACCAATGGTTTTGCCACCCACAACCGCGCCAGCAACCGAGGTTGCAGCTGATGCGCTCCACTGCAATGCCGTGCTGGATGTGTTCCAGCAGAGCTTCCAGTGGCAGCTCCTGGGAATGGAAAAACGAATCTTCCAACGCCGTCCTCTGCCAGGTTCTACAAGGTGGTGCCCCAACCATAGGAAACCATAGGAAAATGTGGGTCTAATGGGATTTATAGTTGATTTATGATAGCTAAGTTAGTTTCTAAGTTCAATAATTTGGTTTTATGGTAGTTACATCTATAGTTACGATTGTTTATCAGCCAACTTACAACGGGGTGGGCACCACCTTGTATCTGCCAGGGTCTATGTTAATTTACCACAGGGCACATGGTGTTTTAATATAGTTTTAATATGTTTTAATGGGAATATCGAATCGAACTATTAGTCTATTAGTGGTGGATTTTGCATTGTGCAATATAAAGAGTCGTTTATGACGTATAGATAACGTGAGTTGATAGGGTGAAATAATAGCCATACATATCCAGTGATATAAGTTGGTTGCAAATTAAAGATGTGGATTTAAGAGAAATCAATGTAGATGTAATCTTTCAAGATAAATAAATATTATCATAAAATCATCAAACATACGTGGTTTAAAGTGAGCACCAGAAAAGGTGTGGATATAATTAATGGGGGTACTTGAAATATCTTGAAATGAGGGACGCCAAGATACGCCAAGTTATCATCCGAGTTCTTGGTAATTTTAGCACTTTCGGCACGCCAGGGTAGGTCGGGGTTTGGGTGTGTTTGGGGTGGGGATGCCAACGTTCTTGGTCACTTGGAATCGACACTTAGAATGTTACCTAGTAGATGGGGGAAAATCCTTTGGTTTTTCAGCATGTTTTGGACTGGAAAATAATTTTGGCAATGATATGGTATTCCTGCAACCAATATGGTTAGACAAAATTGCATTCTAAGTGTCTACAATTGGCAAACCGTCTAATTTTCAATTATGAACTCGATATTGGTAAACCTTCCTGTAACCTGTCACTTCATGCCAAGACGAGAGACCTAGATCTGCTGAGCAATCTTCTGACAGCGATGTTGGTTTAAAAAACGCAGTTATACACATATATATATATACATATTATATTATTTAATCATATATACTGTATATATGTTTTTCCCCTTTAAGCCATAGTGAAATTGGGCTCAGAAGCCAGCTTAAATATGGGGCCCCACCCTGGATGGCCCATTTGAAATTGTTCGATGATGATAACTGCCTCTGAAAAAATTGCGATTCTCCATAGCAAACTGTTAAACTGCCAGAGGGTAACAGTTTTTGTTGTGTCACACCCAAACTTTGAATTTGAACATTTTCGGGTGTGTTTTTTCTGGATTCCCGTGATTGGTTCGTCTTCCAATGACGCCCAGCAATTGGAGATAGACCAGCCAATTGGTTTTACCAAAGATTGCGAGATGGGAACCGTGGTTTTGATGGATTGCGATGGGGTGTATCGAAACAAAACCTTGACCCTTACCAGAATACCTTCTGGTAATCAAACGTGGCTGGAAAATCCATTGCGCATGGAGTCACGGAGGTTTCAATAGAACATCACCATTTTTATAGGTTGATTTTCCAGCTATCCACGTTTGCTTGCCGGAGAGCACGCACAAATCATTCTCTTGGTTTCTGATGGAAAACTGTTTTGCCCTGAAAAGATTTGAGCACCCTATAGGCCCTATCGCTAGAGCCCTAGGAAAGCTTTGGAGATGTTGAACACCATGAAAGTGATCGGTTGGAGCACCTAAAATCGGCCCATGTGACGGGTGGTGACGAAGCATCAAGAGAGGTATAAATTGACAATCTAATACAATCTATAAGAAAGCATGTTTTTTCCACCAAAAAAATATAGGCAATGTCGGGGAATTGTAAAAACACTATAGGTATCTATAGGTCATGAATTGGTAATCAACGACTAAGAGATTCAACCAACCAAGGAATGTTTTTGTGTTTATGTAGGAAAATGATAGAAATATCCTCATCGAAATGTTGGAGAAATTTACCGCATATAGGAACACTACCTCACTGGCCGAAGTCACCTCAAATGGTTAGCGACTCGAACTACCCTATCATCGTTTTGTTTAAGCTTGGTGAACCAATCAAAACCCGCCAGATCTGTTTCTGGTGATGATTGAAGATGGAATTACTCTAGTTTCCTGAAACTTTATTGACCAGATTAGTTTTAAAAAAGATAGTCCCACCCCCTATACAATTGCCTTACATGGAGGCTCACAATGGACCCGGCTTTCTAGGCCCATTCTATGTGAAATTCACATGATTGTGTTTGTCTTGAACCACACCCCCATCAAATAATAGGAACGATGTTGTTTTAAACCACTGGTTTCGTTTCTGTTACCAAAATTTTCAGACAATTTTCAGACAAATCCAAATACGATATGTGTGTGTTATTTACATGACATAATATATGCTTAATATATGTCTATCCACCGATATCCCTATGAGAATCCCATTATGGTTGGTTTTTGTTACAGATCATGGGATTACTCGATCACACAGAGCTGCTCAGGTGTGCCTCCAGATACCGCGAGCCTCAACACCGTGATGAGCGCATGTGGCGCGGCGCAATTCCATGTTCTCAGTTGACAGTTGAAGCCCTTTCCAAATTATTAAAGGGTATTGAAACAACTATTATTAATGTTTTTAGCCAACTTATAAGTACAGTTAAAACCCGAAATACCAATAGATGCTTATGTCTATTGGGTTAAAAAAAACGGTGGTTTGTCAGGGCAAACTGTTAAATTACCACAGGATATAGGCATTCTCCTTATGACCCCCATATAATCACCATGATTTCGCAAATTTTCATGGTTAAATCCCATATCATGTCCTCATGTTTGATTGTTTAGCTGCACAAAAAAAGGAGGTTTCCTAAGTCATGGGAGTAACCGTAAATCATCCAAGATATGGATGTTCAAACTGTAGTATTGATAGTATTGAAAAAATACTTTACTTCGTGTGATCCCCACCATGACATTTATACATTTTGTTACTGGCAAATCTTCTGGCATTCTATCTGACATTTTATCTGGCATTCTATCTGGCATACCTTCTGGCATTCTATCTGGCATTCTATCTGG